TATTTTTTTTAAAAGAATGAATGGAGGGTGGTGCCTGTGGCTCAGAGGAGTAGGATGTTGGCCCCATATGCTGGAGGTGGTGGGTTCAAACCCAGCCCTGGCCAAAAGCTGCAAAAAAAAAAAAAAAAAAAAAAGAATGAATGGAGGGTGGCACCTGTGGTTCAGTGAGTAGGGTGCCAGCCCCATGTACTGAGGGTGGCCAAACTGCAATAACAACAACAAAAAAATAGCCGGGCCTTGTGGCAGGTGCCTGTAGTCCCACCTATTTGGGAGGCTGAGGCAAGAGAATCGCCTAAGCCCAAGAGCTGGAGGTTGAAGTGAGCTGTGACGTCACAGCACTCTACCGAGGGTGACAAAGTAAAACTCTGTCTCTCAAAAAAAGAAAAAAAAAAGAATGAATGAACTGGGCATGATGGCTCAAGCCAGTAATCCTAGCACTTTGGAAGGCTGAGGCAGGTGCATTACTTGAGGCTAGGACTTTGAGACCAGCAAGAGTAAGATCCCCTCTACTAACAATAGAAAAACTGGCTGGGCATGGTGGTGGGCACTTGTAGTCCCAGCTACTTTGGAGGCTGAGGCAGGAGGATCCCTGGAACTCAGGAATTTGAGGTTGCTCTGAGCTGATGCCACTGCACTCTTCCAAGGTGACAGAGACTCTCAAGAAAAAAAAAATTGATGGTAGCTCAAACTTAATTTCCTCAAGAGCAAAATGTCTTAGCCTTAACAAGCGAAAACAAAGTACTAATTCATGAATATATTAATTTTTAATAGCATTTTCTTCCCAATCCAAGATCCAATATAGATCACACAGTGTATTTTGAGATTAATTTAATTTAATTTTATTATTATTTTTTGAGACAAGGTCTCACTTTGTTGCTCTTGGTAGAGTGCTGTGGTGTCATGGTGTCACAGCTCACAGCAACCTTTTGGGCTTAAGCGATCCCCTTATCTCAGCCTCCCAAGTAGCTGGGACTATAGACGCCCACCACAATGCCTGGCTGGTTTTAGAGACAGGGTCTTGGTCTGGCTCATGCTGGTCTTGAACTTACGAGCTTAGGAGATCCACACACCTCAGCCTGCTGGAGTGGTAGGATTACAGGTGTGAGCCACAGTGCCCAGCCTTTTGAGATTAATTTTAGACTTACACAAGAGTTGCAAAAATAGTGCAGAGAGTGGTAACACAGCACAGGGTTCATCCAGCTTCCTCTCATGTAACCACAGGACAGACATCACCGGCATCAGCTAAACTGCAGGCTCCATTCGGGTCTCACGGGCTTTTCCACTCACGTCCCAGGCTGCAGTCAGGTGCTTGGTCCCTGGATCTCCCATCTGCGGCCTGTTTCCTCCACCTTTGTTGTCTTTAATGCTGTGACATTTGGAAGGGTGCTGGCAGGTAATCTTGTAGGATACCCATCAGTCTGGATTTCTCTGCTGCAGACTCATGATGGGACCGAGGTTATGCTGTCGGGAAGGGCGCCGCTTAGGAGACTCGGGACGTGCTGGGACAGGCTGTCAATGCACTGAGTTACTGTGGGGCACAGGTTGCCTCCCTCTCGCAGCCAATTCAAATGGGGTCTCTGAGTTTCTTCACTGTAAATTTACTAATTTCCCCTCTGAAATTACTGAAGGTTTTGGAGGAGAGACTTTGAGACACTGCAGATCTGTTTCTGCTTAAACTTTCCCGTTGACTTCAGCGTCAGTTGCCGAGACTGGCTGCACAGCTGACTGTGGTGTCCTAGCAGGGATTTTCCGTTTTCCTCACTTCCACTGCATAGAGTGTGTGGGCGTGAGTGTGCATGTGAGCATGTGTGTGCGCATGAGTGTTTGTGTGAGTAGGTGTGCACATGCATACAAGTGCCTGTTCATGTGCGTGTGTATGGTGCATGGGTGTGTGAGCTCACAGCCGGTGTGGCTGGGTCTGTATTCACACACCATCAGGTGGCAGTGTGGGGGGGTGTCTGGATCTGGCTGTGTCTCTGGATCAAGACTCAGCGTGTGCCCCTGTAGTACACACGCCCCTTCTCCAACACCCTTTCCAAAGCATGTCCTCTTTCTGATCAAGCCTGTTTGGTTTTCTGTACTAACAATGTGGAGCCAACCTGGCCATATGCTGGCCTGCCCTGGCCCCTGGGTGCACACGGAGAGTGTGCTCAGGATCCCTTGCAGCTAGGGTGGGCCCGTGACCTGGATGCAGACAGTGAACTCTGAGTCTGATCTGGTGGTCTGTGTCCCCTCCTGGCCTGGCCCTGGAGTCCATGAAGTCCTCTTTGACTTCCTGCTTTCCTCTGGCCAGAGAAATGCAGAAGTCCAGCCAGGGCTCCGAGAGGGCCCCAGAGGGCCTCCTGGCCAGCAAGTGTGAGGTTGGATATGCAGGTGGGCAGGTGGCTACAGCAGCTGGTAAAATTACCTTGACTAATTCTCCATGGGCAGGTGGGATTTAAAACTAGTGTTGAAGGAGATGCCTGTTAGGGTGCCATCCTGTGACCACAGAGATAGATTGATAGTGGTGACACAGCTGTGTTTGCCTGTGATGGAGGCAGGGCACACGTTTGGTGGTGCTAGTATTAACAGCTGTGGGGAGGAGGGTATGGGGATGGCAGGGTGTTGACTGAGGGTGCTGGTGTCCTCGGCTGTGGTGAGGACAGTGGGGCATGAGGCTGGCGTGAAGGCAGGAAGCAGTGGAGTTGGGGTGACGGGGTGAGGGAGCTGGAGATGGTGTCTGTGGGGAGGGAGAGCGTGCAGGTCACCTGGGCTCCTGTCAAGGACAGCTGGTTGGGGGTGAGGGGCTCTGACTGGCTTGGCGTGTGGTGTGGCAGTGTGTGGGGGGCTCTGTGGTGGCCAGAGGGAGGCTGTGGAGATGGTGCCTGCCCAAAGTTGTACAGAGAAACTTCCATCTCAGTGTGATGGCATTAGGACGTGTGAGGGAGTGGACAGACACCTTCTGTCCCTTCCACCGTGGGAAGGGAGGCCCTACTCGGGTACTGGATGTGGCACCTTGACTGTGGACTTGCCGGTCTCAGAGCTGTGAGAAAGGAATTTCGTCTGCTTGTGAGTTACCGAGTCTTCAGTCTTGTAACAACAGCACACGTGGATGAGGACAGATGGTGGACCTCAGCAGGCCTGCACTCCTGGGGCTCTCTGGGAACCAGTTTTCCACACAGGGGATCCCTGCCTGGGCAAAGGCCCTCCGTCCTCCCCACCCTCAGGGTGTGCCCTGCCTGGACAGCCCACAGGTTCCCACTGGACCGAGCCCACTCAGCCAACAGGGTGGGGGCCTGGAATCCTCACTCATACTCGTGGCCTCAGGAAGGAGTGAGGGCAGAATTAGGGGCGGGAGCATCTATGTCCTACCCCACATAGGGGTGGGGACTGAAGAGTCTTAGTTCCCAAGGCCCCCACAGGCCTGGCAGCTTTTGAGGGAGCACTTTTCAGGTGTGAAAGAGGATCATGCAGGAACCTGGGCCTGCATCCTCCTCTGGACAGCTCCTTCCACACACGGTTTCACAAGGACCCCTGTGAATGACCCCTGTGAGGTGCTTCATGTGGGGCCAGGAGGCAGGTGTCATGTGATATCTGCTTTCCAATGCAGAAACCACAAACTCTCAGCCTATGGGCTCCATCCCGCCAGTTAATGTGTTGTATTTGTCCAGCTAATATATATATTTTTGAGACAGGGTCCTGCTCTGCCTCCCTGGCTAGAGTGCAGGGGTGTTGAAAGGTGTAAGTGGCAGTGCTCAGAGATGAGACTGAAGCAGAGAGGTTCAGGCTGGGTTTATTGAAAGCAGATGGCTCTACTTGGGAAGGGCAAAGAAGGCATCTGTGCTGGGGGCAGGAAGAAACTCCTTTTATATGGGGCCATGGGGGTGGGCCAATTCTACAACTTGCCTGGAGGGTTTTGGTGAGTTAGGGTCCTTTGGTGTGAATTTCTTCAGGGGTTCTTTTTTTGGGGGGCGGGGTCGTGTAGGGCCACGTTAGGCCCCATAACAGGTGTCACCATAGCTCACTGCAGCCTCAAACTCCTGGGCGCAGGTGATGCTGGTGCTTCAGCCTCTCAAGCAATGTATCTGGGGCTCTTGTTCCGACCTGACCTCTATGGTTCTTCCTGGTGGCATCCTTTGACCCCCAGGCCTACCCTGGCTGGCACACCTCTGCTGGCCACATGCCACACACAACTCCTGCTGTGGAGAGATATTGGTGTAATTATACTGAGAGCTGGGTTGGCCTCCTCCTCATATGGTGGAGACAAGTTTATTATTTTAACATCTGGCACCAGAATTCCTCAGAGGGAGAGACTTGTCTTATTTGAAGAATTTGGTGATCATTGCTTGGGGACAGATAGAGAAGGGATCCCGGGTATGGAGGGGGCTGCTGTCCGCACTTGCAGGACAGTTGTTTTCTATGACAAAGGGAGGACTTTGTCATTTTGTTTTTTTCTGAAGAAGAGGGGTAGAGAGGAGGAGAAGGAGAGAGAAACGGAAGGAGAGAAATGAGTGAGGCGAGGACGGGGCCGGCTGAGCCCAGGGTACCCCGTGGCAAGGACAGAGTAGCTGAAGTTGGAAGGAGATGTGCCCTTTCCAGGCATTTTTGTCCCGGAGATGGAGATGCCTCCTGCCCTCCCCCAAGGACCTTCAGGACAGCCTGCTCTGGTGAAAGCCAGCTCTCCGTGGGGAGGAGCACTGATAAGAGGCTGACGGGTTCCCTAGGGGTTGGGCCACGTTGGGCAGATGAGTCTGTGGGAACCAGAGTCGCAAGCCCTGGCTCAGGATGTCCAGACGTTGTGCCAAGGGGGATGCCTGGGCGGGGGAGGTGGGCAGCCCATTTCACCAGGAACTTGAGGGACTGAGGAACCCCAACTTGTATCTTGTAACAAAATGAGGCCAAGTTTTCAGAAGTAGGCAGACTCGGGTGCTGAGGGAGGGGATAAATCTCTGAGCTTAAAAAAAAATGGCTGAGCAGCCAGTTTATTTCTGGCTGCTGGAGGTTTGGGCTGACCAGATTTAGCTCAGTGCAGGGGCTCTGAGGAGGCACACAGCAGGCCTGCCAGAAGGGCCAGGCCCAGCACAGCCACAGCGATCAGCGCCACATCCCACCAGATCCCCTGGTGGGCCCAGGGTGCTTGCAGCTGCCAGCCACAGCTGCCCAGCTCATATCCTGTGAGCTGGCCCAGGGGGCGGTGGGTGGCGAGGTCCGGGCTGGCACAGCGGACCTGCAGCAGGATCTCGGGTGTGTAGTCCTCCAGCCAGAGGCGCAGGTAGGTGAGGCTGCAGTCACAGTGCCAGGGGTTCTGTGTCACATCAAGCATCTGCAGCTGGGGCAGGTGGTCAAAGGCCCCCGGGGGCACGGACTGCAGGCTGTTGTTGGCCAGCAGGAGGTGGCGGGTGTGGGCGGGCAGGGTGGGCAGGGCTGTGAGTTTCTGACCCCTGCAGTCCACCCACAGCCCCATGGTTTCCAGGGCCTGGCAGGTGCATGGGATGGGGCAGTCGTTACTGGCCTCTGCTGCGGCCCAGAGCAGGAGCAGGGCCCCCCAGGCAGGCATCAGGCAGGCTGGCTGCAGAGAGAGAGGCCATAAGGGAAGGTGTGGGAGCCTGCACCTGTCACAAAGCCACTGTGGGCCCGGTGGAATCTAATGTGGGATTAGGGAAGGGCACTCACCTCCCTTCTCAGGCCTCAGCTTTCTCCTCTGTGAAATGGGGTGATGACTGAGGGAGATGAGGAGTGTCCAGTCCAGGCCTGACTGATCCCCACTGGACACGGCAGAAGGCAGGATGGTAAGGGTGGCTGTAGCACAAGGAGGAAAATGTTTTGGGAAAGGGAAAGGACCTCCTGGCCCCTAGCCAAGACTAGCCCCTGCTCAAGGGTGCTGAGAGCAGAGGACTGCTAAATAACTTCCAGCCCTGATCCCTTCCCCCAGAGACCAGGAAAGGCCTTTAAAGGGGGCCTTCCAGGCTGCACCCAGCCCCCATCTAAGCCTGGGCTCAGGTTGATGATGTGGACACTTCACCACCCATCCAGCCTGATCAGTTCCCAGCAAACTGGCCATGGCTAAGTGAACTATTATATGGTTCCTGGTGCTGAGAACAGCAGGGTGGGGATGCCCTGAGGGATCCTACCTGGAAACCACTCATCTCAGCATTACCCAGGGCTGGGGCCATTGAGGCCCAGAGAGGGAAAGCAACTTGCTCAGTGTTGCCCAGCATCTGTGCCAGACTCACACTGAGGTCTCATGAGCCTGTCTTCTGTCTGGTTCACTAGGTGGCCTCCAGGGCTCAGGGTGAGGGCTGCTTCCCCTGGCCAAGCAGAGCCCTCCCCACCAGGGCCGGCCCCATAGCAAGCTTCCAGTGATTATTTGCTGAGTAAACAAATGAGTCAGTGCCCCCACCCAACCCTGTCTTTTATAGGGGGTGGAAACTGGCCTCCCCTTTCTCTCCCCAACAGGCTTTGTCCCACACCCCACCTGGCAGGAGCCATCTGGGTAGTAAGGAGGGCCACCTACCGTGAAGGCTTCAGTCAGGGCACCCCTTTCTGTGGCCTGAACAGTCCTGGTTGTGGATGTGGTGGAATTCTATGGGAGGTGGCCGAGGAGCTGCCACTTGAGTGGGAGGAAGGAAATGATGAAAATAGCCTGGCTTATCCCCCAAGTGCAGCCCTGGGGGCCTATCTCCAGAGGCAGGAGGCCCCTGAGGTCCCAGGGCTTTGGGCACAGAATGGTGGGTCCACCTTGGCTTATGGAAGGAGGGGCGGCAATACTGCCATTTCTGTGATGGAAAGCTGAGGTGTCTCCTCACCTGTTCCCAGGAGTTGGGGGAAGTCTTCTGGAAAGAGTAGAGCCCTGAGAAGAGTGGTGCTGCTGGTTGTTCCTGCGAACCTCAGTTTTCCTCATCTGTCAAATGGGAGCAATAACCCCTGCTCTGCTTGCCTCATAGAGGCCTGGACTGGGCAGCTCCCCCCAGCTGAGAATACCACGGGGGTGGGGGGTGGGGGGAGAATGAATTAGCTTTTAAGTCTGCTCTGTCCTTCTGAGCAGGTCAAGGGGAAAGTCTCCCTTTGGTGCTGGGGCATCTCTAGCACCTGCCTTACTCTTCCTGATCCCTTTCTAGCAAAGAGCTGCAAGCCTGGGACTCAGAGCCCCTACCTGGCATAGTTTCTAGCTGAATTCAAGACCACGGTTTTATTTGCAGTATGCTCACTTCTACAGATACATCTGCTTAGAGAGTGACATCATTTTCCATTTCTGTTAATGATATAAAGTTCCTGTTTTTTAATATTAGGCCTGCAAGACCTCAAAAAATTTTGTTTACTAACTCCCAAGTGTTCCTCTCCATGGAAATCTTTAGTATAAGGCAAAGGATTTATTTTTTTTTTCTTTCTTTTTTTTTGAGGCAGAGCCTCAAGCTGTCCCCCTGGGTAGAGTGCCGTGGCATTACAGCTCACAGCAACCTCCAACTCCTGGGCTCAAGC